TGGGGAATTCTGGGAGTTGAAGTCCAGACATCTTCAAGTGGCCAAGGTTGAGAAACACTGTTCTAGGTGTACATTTAAAAATTAGATATCAGTCATAGACAAAATATACCCATAATAATACAGCGACATTAAAATGCACACAAGATGAAGGAGGGGCAATTTCTTTCATTGAAAGAAAGGGATAGTTTTTGAAACCAACTTAATTAATTAATCAATCGTTGGGTAATACCTCCAAATGTATTCACTCTTTCAATGCCTTTTTACTGTTCTAAAAAATTAATACTCAATAATTTCATGAACCAAACAGCGATTTTTTTCCAAATGCTTCTCAGGTCTGTCAGAAATGGTGTAAGGGTCTCCTGCTTGGGCAGGGGGTAGGTCTAGATGACCTACAAAGTTCCTTCCAACTCTTGTTAATCTGTATCTGTATCTATAACCCCTTTGGATTCACCCCTTGTGATTTTTGTAAAAAAAGTGTTTTAGTGTAGGCAAACGAGGCTGCAGAGAGAGAGGTCTGTTCCAGTTGCAAAATATGGAACGCTTCACGAATTTGCGTGTCATCCTTGCGCAGGGGCCATGCTAATCTTCTCTGTATCGTTCCAATTTTAGTATATGTGCTGCCGAAGCGAGCACAAACTGAACTATCTCTGAATTGTTATATAAGCCCCATGCTCATAGAATATTGTAAGCTATGGTGATCACATATGTAATTTTTTTTTAAAGACCTAGTTTGTATTAACGCAAAACAAGCTGTGTCTCTTTTATAGCTCGAAATTTCGAATATATATATTTTAAAAATTCAGAACAAACTGCATTTTGAGGAGAGGATGACATGCAAGGTCGGAGTATGGAAATTAAGGGGCGTGGCTCCAGAATTGGGTGGTGGAATATGGAGACAAAGAGATAAGTAAAATGTCGAGCGTTTCAAGGAGCATAGCACGTGTGGTTTCACATCGCCGTAGGTCTAGCCCTCTGTGTGAGAGTTCCCGAAGGGGGTAAGTTTCTCTTTCTGCCCAAAGTAATTTCCGAAGTGGGTAAGAACAATGCGTAAGGTGTGAAATTAAAGAGGCAATAATTAACCAACGTTGTTGTATTGAAGGTTTTTGTTCTATAGGTCAGTGAGGAGTGAACAGCTCACAGGAGTATTTGCGTAAATGAAGATTTTCACGATGCAATAGAGTTACATCAGAGTGGATAGGCTAAAGAAGGAAATATAAAAACGAAGCCTTTAAAACTTTTTTTTTACTTGCCCATCCAGATATTTGACACCTGGGGTGGGGGGTGGGAAGGGGCTTTTGGAATTTTTTTTAAAAGTATTTTTCAACAAAATACCGGAAGTGAGTATAAAACTTTCCTCTTAACCGTACCCCCTTTGCAGACCGCTTTTCCCACCCCGCCCGACGGATCGCGCGCTCCCCTTCCGGAACTCCTCTAGTTTCCCCTTCCTTTCCCAGGATGCTTTTCGCCCTCGCTCGGCGTTCCTCCGCCCGGCCTGCTCTCGGCTGACGTCATCGGCGCTGCGGGGCGGGGCGGGAGGAAAAGGGGAAGCCAGCTTGCTTATCAACATGGCGGTGGCCCGGGCGGACGTGAAGGTGGACTGAGAGGCGCAGGCCCAGAGGACGGGCCGCTTCCCGCGGACGCGGCCGAGCTTCTCTTCCTCTCCCCGGCGTCCCTTTCTGCTTGGTGGGGGCGCCGCTGTTTAACCCGGGCTCCTCTAGACCAGGACTGGGTCGAGGCTCTCCCTGTCTTCCTTCGGGGCTGTTCTTCCCTTCCTGGGGGGCGGGAGGGGGTCTCCTCCCTCTCAATAACGGGGTCGCCCCCCATTTCCTCCCGTCTCTTCAAGCCTTCTTCTTCCCCTCCCCCAAACCCCTTTCATCCCCTCGGATTCTTCTGACGACCCTTTTTCTTCCCCAAATTAAGCGCCTCCCTTTTGAGGCTTGTCCTCCCCCACCCCTTTCCCCTTCCCCGAGAAGATTGCAAAGGGCTCCTCTTTGCTCTTCCTCCCCCCAAAATTGGCTCTCCCCCTTTCTTGTCCCCCCCTCTTCTGCCCCGGATTCCCTCTGCTAGAAATTAGTGGGGCTCGCCAAATCTCCCCTTTAAATAAGATATCGTAGACGTTTCACAGCCTCCCCCCCTCCCCATGTCCCCCCCTCAGAAAGGTCTCTCCCCTTCCTCTTAACTTAACCTGGCAAAGTTTCTCTTTCTGCCCAATGTTATTCCGCCCCCCATTCCCTTGTGATTTGATAGCCCCCTCCCCTATTTTGCTGAATCCCTTTTCCAGCTCTTGCATAGCCTGCCCACAGTCCCATTTTGGGGGGTCCTGGCATCCCTGACCCATTGAACTGGTTTCTTTCCTCCATTTTGACAGATACACCTTGGTCCCTGCCTTTTTCCCAGGGAGAGCCAGATGTGCGGACAGTTTTTTCTCTCTCTTCCTTTCCTCCTGCCAGCTGCCTCTTCCTGTCCTATTTGTCTTCCCTGATCCTGAAACATTTTTAGGTCCTATTCGAGGTAGGCTATCAGGGACCCTTATAGGGGATTCATTCATTTGCCCTCCTGTTCAGCTCTTGCTGAGTGACTGACCCTTTTCTTTGTTGTTTCCAAATTGGTACATCTTTCATGTCAATCCTCTGTAAGGACCATTTTTCTTCTAATTCAGACTATGGGCTAACTTTGTTGTAGGATAACTATTCCCAGTTGCTGTTGGTTTTTTTTCTCCTTCCCTGTGCCAGTTTGGGAGGTGGATTCACTGCTGAAGTGCTTTCTGCTCTCGGCAGACTAGGTTAGTGTCTTGAAATTAAATTTACATGTGGGAAACTGGAGTCAAACTCTTCTGAGAGAAGACTGCGAAAGAAGCCTCTGAAAGCAGCCCTGTCGGCCCTCTGTGCACCTTCATCAACTCAGGATGTCAGAGAATCAGCCCAACAACACCCATCATCCATTGAACAATAATGGGGTGGGTGGGGCCCCTGCTGGCAATAACCGAGGGGTCCGTAATCTCAACCAGAACCCTCTCATCAATGTTCGGGATCGCCTCTTCCATGCCCTTTTCTTCAAAATGGCTGTCACCTATGCCCGCCTCTTCCCACCGTCTTTCCGTCGCATCTTTGAATTCTTCATACTCCTTAAGGTAATGGTGGAGGGGTAGAGGGAGATTAACATTGTCCTTCAGTGTGTGCATTTTCATACGGGTTTGGAATAGAGTTAGTAATGTTTGAATGCTTGCTAAAGCTTATGGGGAAAAACGTTTTTAGCCTCTACAAATTTGAGGTGGGGGGTGTGTGACTTCCCCCTCCCCCCATTGGTGGATATTTTATTGGCTTGTGATATATTATTCTCTTTGTGCCGCCACCTCCGGGTGTTTCCTGCACTTCTATTCCAATTTACAAAACTTCCCAGTGCTTAACTTTGATTTCTTGTACTAGGTCAGGGGTCAGCAATCCGTGGCTCTGGAGCCGCATGTGGCTCTTTCATCCCTCTGCTGCGGCTCCCTGTCGCTCAAAATAGGCATCACAGCCTCTAATACGCAACACCTCCCGGCACGCTTTTCGACCCCTGGTTGGCCAACCAAGAAAAGAAAAGTTTTTTTAAAAAAAACCTAGAATGCTAAGTCAACTACATATGCTAGTTTTATGGCTGCTCGAGAAATAGTCAGGCACAAGAAGGGTTTTGTGGCTCCCAGTGTTTTCTTTTCTGTGGGAAATGGGTCCAAATGGCTCTTTGAGGTGTTTAAGGTTGCCGATCCCTGTGCTAGCTGTTACCCAGACTATCCTGTAATCTGTTTTTTAAGAACCATGGGGATTAATTCATTTTATTCACGCTTTAAAAATTGTGTTTTATTTATATTTCATATTTCTTAACCGCCCATCTCCCTCAGTTTTGCTGTGCACGCAGTGCACGTTCTGTACTGTATCATTCTATATATATGTGTGTGTTTGTGTGTGTGTATATTTTTTCTGAGGTTTTCGCGGGTGTTAGTATGTAGGTCTTTGGTTATTCGGGTTTTCTCCTGCGTAAAATTGGAAGTGTCTTGGTGACGTTTCGACGAAGTCTCATTCGTCACCTTCAGGCTTGTTTGCTCGGCTTGGTGCTTCGAGAGATCTCACATTGCTCCTGGAAGCACCAAGCCGAGCAAACAAGCCTGAAGATGACGAATGAGACTTCGTCGAAACGTTGCCAAAGCACTTCCAATTTTATGCGGGAGAAAACCCGAATAATCAAAGACCTACATATGTGTGTGTGTGTGTGTATACATATATGTATGTATGTATGTATATTTATTTATTTATTTATCAGCTCAAATACCACACACACACACACACATATGTATGTATGTATTTATGTATGTATGTATGTATGTATGTATATATGTATGTATGTATGTATATATATCACAGTACTCCCCAAAAGTAGGGCACTATTAGTTTCATTTAACAGATGGGAAAGAAAAAACTAAGGCTGGAGGGAAAATGGTTTGTCTAGAGCAGTGGTAGTCAACCTGGTCCCTACCACCCACTAGTGGGTGTTCCAGCTTTCATGGTGGGCGGTAGGGGTTTTGCCCGATACTGAAGCACTTTCCTTTTTTAAAAAATTTAATTGACTTAAAAAAAAAAATCATAGCATTATTTAAAATAGCAATAGCAGTTAGACTTATATATACCGCTTCATAGGGCTTTCAGCCCTCTCTAAGCGGTTTACAGAGTCAGCATATTGCCCCCAACAACAATCCAGGTCCTCATTTTACCCACCTCGGAAGGATGGAAGGCTGAGTCAACCCTGAACCGGTGAGATTTGAACAGCCGAACTGCAGTCAGCTGAAGTAGCCTGCAGTGCTGCATTTAACCACTGCGCCACCCCAGCTCAACATTTTCATTAGGTTTTCATAAAATCACCATTACTGTGGAACCGGTGGGCGGTTAGAAAATTTTACTACTAACAGAGATACAAAAGTGGGTGGTAGGTATAAAAAGGTTGACTACTCCTGGTCTAGAGCAGTAACCTGCATGTGACAAGTCTGTGAGGAATAAAGTGTAACTTCCTGTGATGTTTCTATTATAATGCTTCCTAAATTCATGCTAGTTTTCCCCCTAGTTACACCACACTGTGGGCCCCTCCCTGTTCAACCTCTGATCAGCTGTTATTTCAAAACTCTCTTTACATCTAATGCAATCAAGCCACGTACTCATCATTGTATATGTATGCTTACAGATATGTATATTGTACATATCAGTTCTAAATAGGACCGTATATGCCTTTGTGGAATATGTTCAGTCCAGTTTTATTTCTTCTGTGTTACCAGTTACTACCAAACTCAGTATCAACTTTGGTAAAAGATTGGCTTCACCTTTTTTATCTAAGTTGTTGATAAACTTACAGAAAAACACTAGGTTTAAAGAATTTCTCTAAAGTTCTAGTTCTTCAGTTCTCTGCCTTAATTTTACTATGACTAAATTAGTAAAAGTAAAGATTTCTCTGTCAGTCATGTCCGATGTAAGGGCATGGTGCTCATCTCTGTTTCTTGGCTAAGGTAGCCAGGATTGTCCAAAAACAATCTAGGTGGTCCTGTGTCCAGCATAGCTATACACCAAAGGCACATGGAATGTTGTTACTTTCCCACTTAAGTGGTACCTATTCATCTACTCACATTTCCATGCTTTCGAACTGCTTGGTGGGCAGGAGCTGGGGCAAGTAACGGGAGCTCACCCTCAGAGGTGGGTTCCTCCCAGTTCGGCCCGGATTGGGCAAACCGGTAGTAGTGGTGGTGAGAGGCTCCGCATTGTGCAAGCAAGCGGGAGCGCATGAGTGAACAGGTAGTAACAAAAATGGCAACCCACCATTGCTCATCCTGTTGTGCGGAACTCCGGCCTCACACAGCTCCTTAAAGCTCAGTGCCTTTAAAATTAGTCAGGCTGTGTATTTTCCTGCAGTGACATTTACAGCTCTGTAATTTAAAGCCCTTGTGCTTGAGGATCATAAAATGTTTTGGATATGTTTTGCCATCTTCTCTGAACTGGAGAGCCTCATTCGCTTGCAGTGTGAAGGCAACAGCATTGGTTTACACACGGGACCATTGTAAGGATTATAACAAGCTAACCTGATATGTTTAGAACTCCCAGAAGAGCAAGGAGGAGATCATTTCCGTGGGTTAGTTTTGAAAAGCTCCATAAAGTTACTAGTCTATAAAAATGGTTTATCACTCTCCCAGAAGGCTACTAATCCATGTTTCCATAGTAAAGCAGGAAGCAAAATGCTTTTGGAAATGCGGCATTTAGCAAGCTGATTGCTGTTGCTTTGTTCTGGTGTCTTAAAAGTTGCCTTCTCATAATCTGGCTCTGCTTAGCCAGCTGGCAGCACTAGCTGACCTTGACTGATCTGGAAAGCAAAACAGGGTCAGCCCTGCTTGATAAATTGGGATGCAGAAGGTGCAGAGCCAACAAATGGACCCTGGTGGTAGAACAGAATCCCAGAAGGTGTCAAGGGCTGATTTATGAGCTGTTGCCTAGGAAACTGCCTGGTGTAAATCACCACAAATCAAGCTCAACTTGATGGGGATTTTACTTAATGATGCAGCATAGAGTACGATGGACAGGAATATATCATGGCAGCTGCCTTAATTTCTGGACTACTAGTGGTCCTCGATTTACAGCCATTCATTTAGTAGCCCTTCACAAAGGCACTGACTTAACGACCGTCTTTCACATTTGCAGCATCTCTACGGTCACGTGATCAAAATTCAGGTGCTTGGCAACTGGCATGTACTTATGACGGTTTGCCGTGTCCTGAGGCCCTTTTGCGATCTCCCGACAAAGCAAAATCAGTGGGGAAGCCAGATCCACTTAATCACCAAGTGTTTACTAACTCCACAACTGCATGGATTCGCTTAACAAGCGTGGCAGGAAAAGTTGTAAAAGGGGGCAAAACTCAATTAACTTGCTTGCTAAGCAATGTTTAGCAGGCTCAATTCTGGTCGTAACCCGAGGACTACCTGAGGTTGCAAAGGAAGAAACCGTCTGCATTTTGCTCAGAAATGAACTGGAGTAGTGAGAAGGATTATTTTATTTTAAAAAAACCCATTTATTTTATGGTATTTTATGATGCTTTTATTTATTACTAGCCAATAATTCGATGTTGCCCAGGTATTTATTTATAGGGGAGAAATGTCTGGGCCAATTTTTGTCCGGATGTAATTTTAAATGTTGGATTTTTCCCCCTTGTGGAATATTGTGAAGCTATTACCATAGCAACTCCACTGCTCTGTACAGTAGAAGCCATTTTACAGCAGTACAGTAGAAGCCATTTTAAGGCACAACAGACTGTATCTTAACAAAACACATACCCTGAGGGGTGTTAGGGGTGTCTTACCCCCCACAGTATTTGTTTCTAGAGAGTAAGTCATCTGTGTACCAAGTTTGGCTGAAATTGCTCGAGGCGTTCCAGAATTATGCTGGTATACACACACACACGCACACATTTTAATATATATAGATTTATTTATAATTTTGATCCAGTGGTTGAGACACTAGGCTAGAAGCCAGGAGACTGTGGGTTCTAGTCCTAACTTAGGCATGACTGGGTGACTTTGGCCCAGTCACTCTCTCTCTCAACCCATCTCACCTCACAGGGTATTTTGGTGGGGAAAGCAGGTGGAGGAAGGAGCTCACCACCTTGAGTTTTGTATAAAAATAATAAAGGTGAGGTACAAATGAATAAAAACATGATACACGGTGTGCAATCGGGTTCCTTTCTAGAATTGTAGCTTGATGGAACCTTCATATCTGTTTTGGAGAGGTTTAGGAGGCTGCACTGTTTATAATTTTGTTATTCTTTGTCTGCCAGGCTCTGTTTGTCCTCTTCATTCTGGCCTACATTCACATCTCCTTCTCCCGTTCCCCCATCAACTGCCTGGAACACGTCCGGGATAAATGGCCACGGGACGGCATCCTACGAGTGGAGATCCAACGCAATTCCAGCCGTAACCCTGTTTTTCTCCAGTTCTGCGAGAGCGAGAGGTTTCCAGGCATGGTGATTGAGCCTGCTGTTGGGGAGGAGGAGGAAGAGGAGGAGGAGGAAGAAGAAATGACTGTGGAGATGTTCCAGAACAGCTCCATCAAGGTACCACGAGGGACAAGGATGTTGTTTTGTTAATGACGATGTTTTTTTCCCATTCACCTTTTGTAACCATGAATATGTTCAGTGTTACCACCAAATGATTACCCTTTGGCCTGATTTAATATGACTAGTATTATGTGTGTGAGAGAAAATTCCTCACATTCTTTAAGTACCGTATTTTTCGGAGTATATAAGATGCACCAAGGTTTTGAAGAGGCAAATTAAAAAAAAAGTTTTTGCACTCTGCAGACCTCCCCTAAATAGCCCCCTTTTTTTAAAGGGCATTTATAGCCTTTAGGAGGGTTATGGAGTGCTCCTGGAGGCTGGGGGGGGGGAGCAAAATTGAGCAAAAAACGGCCCATTTTTCACTCATTTCTGCCCTCCCCAGTCCCCGGGAGCACTCTGGAAGCCTCCTAAAGGCTACGCACGGCCATTTTGGTGAAGGGAGCGGGGTTTCAGTAGGTAAAAAATACTGTATTCAGTGTGTAAGACACACCCCAATTTTCAGCCTCGTTTGAGGGGAAAAGGTGTGTCTTATACTCCAAACAATACGGTAGTTAAATGTATTTGCCTCCAAATCTCCCATATGTGCTTTTGTCTCCACTGAAAAAAAATCCCCCAATTGTGAATTTCAGTGAGAGGGGAGATACTTCAGCACCTGGTTCATTTGGGTTGCTCCTCATTTCCTTTTAAGTTCTCTAACATTGCTTCATAAGATGGGCTTGCTGCCAATTCAAAGTTATAGTTATTTAGCCATGAACATTCCTGTGGTGAAATGTCAATGGAAGATTCTCAGTCATCCAGGTGATAGTTATCTCAAAGGCGTTTTGAGCCAAGGTGGCGCAGTGGTTAAAAGCAGCACTGCAGGCTACTGCTAGATCAGCAGGTCAGCGGTTCAAATCTCACCGGCTCAGGGTTGACTCAGCCTTCCATCCTTCCGAGGTGGGTAAAATGAGGACCCAGATTGTTGGGGGCAATATGCTGACTCTCTGTAAACCGCTTAGAGAGGCCTGAAAGGCCTATGAAGCGGTATATAAGTCTACTGCTATTGCTATTGCTATATTCTCCCCAAAAGGCAACTGGACTGTTTTTTGAGGCAGAAGAAGATGTTGTGCTTCTAATCCAAGAAATTTCATTCTTTGAGATTCCTGTTGTTAATTGATCCCAAGGAAAAAAGTTTGGAAAATGCCATGAGAATACTTTCTGGAATACCATATAAATAAGAGAAGTACATAAGAGATGGCCTTATTGGGTCAGATTGTCCAGTTGGTCCAGTTCCAAAATTTCAGTTTGTGGCTGATCCAGTTCCACAGAGAAGGTCAGAAAGAAAGAAAGGCCTGTTCTCTTATAGCTCTGCTTCCAAATGTCCCGACCAAACGTAATTCCTCATGTTGGATTTTCCCCCTTACCAGAGGGAGACCCCTTGTGGAGTACTTTGAAGCCGTTACCATGGCAACTCTACTGCGCTGTGCAGTAGAATCCATTTTACAGCAGTACAGTAGAAGCCATTTTAAGGCATAACAGGCTTAACAGAACACACACACCCCTGAGGGGTGTTAAGGGTGTCTTACTCCCCACAGTATTTTTCTCCAGAGAGTAAGTCATCTGTGTACCAAGTTTGGTTGAAATTGCTCAAGGCGTTCCAGAGTTATGCTGGAACGAACACACACACACATACAGACACATTGCTCGAGGCGTTCCAGAGTTATGCTGGAACATGCACACACACACACACACACAATATAATAGATAGATCGATAGGATAGGATAAGATAGGATAGATAGATAGATAGATAGATAGATAGATAGATAGATAGATAGATAGATAGATAGATAGATAGATAGATATAAAGAATGATTGTGTCAGACTGTAGTTCATTAAAATGGCGACAGCCAGAATGGTGAGTTGTGAAATATTTAACCTAATAAAAAGATACATTGAAAGGTGACATTTTGTCCTGGGATAATCTGTAGAGCTCTCTCATGTGTAAGGAATGAGTGCAGATCTACCACTAATGAATAGTTGATTCAGAGAAGTATTTGAGAGAAACGTCCTCCCTGAATGATGAAACAGAAACTGCCTTAAGAGATGATGGGCTGTTTTTTGCTATGTGTATTTAAACAGAGTTCCAAAAGACTTATCCAGGATAAATAGATTCAGGGTCCCGCATTAAACAGGTATTAGCAGATCCTCCTACTTTTATACTTCTTGAATACAGGTTAAATTTAGCTATCATAGATAATGGCCTTCAGCAGACCTCTCTTAGTTTTTAAAGGTTGATTTGAAAATGCTTTTTTTCCCTGGATCTGATTCTGTGAGTCATCACGGAGGGCTCTTTTATTTAATGATAGTATCTCCAACCTTTCCTTTGTAAAAACCACAAACTATAAAATAAACATATTGTAAAACAATAGTACATTGATTAAAAAAAAACACCTTTAGAGCAGTTGAATATGTTAAAACGATTTAGAAGTCTAGAAATGATAAAGTCTGTATAGCAAATAAAGAACCATTGCAGCTCCAGAGCATTCTACTTCCTAGGAGAAATACAGGATAATTGGTTATTTATGTATATATTGTAGAATTGTACAATACAGGGACGCAGTGGCTCAGTGGCTAAAACGCTGAGCTTGTCGATTAGAAAGCTCAGCAGTTAGGCGGTTCGAATCCCTATAGCACCATGTAACAGAGTGAGCTCCCGTTTACTTGTCTCGACTTCTGCCAACCTAGCAGTTCGAAACCACGTAAAAAATGCAAATAGAAAAATAGGAACCACCTTTGGTGGGGAAGGTAACAACGTTCCGTGCGCCTTCGGCATTTAGTCATTCCAGCCACATGACTACAGAGATGTTTTCAGACAGCACTGGCTCTTCAGCTTTGAAACGGAGATGAGCACCGCCCCCTACAGTCGGGAACAACTAGCACATGTGTGCGAAGGGAGCCTTTATCTTTTACAGTATAGAGCTGCTCAACTCTAGAATGACTACATACAGTACAGTAAAATCAGTCATACAGTACATTTAAAAAAAATATAAAGCCCCCCTGCCTTGAAACACTGGAAAAAATACAATCATTAAATAACAAACAGACATGTGGGAGCTGCCACCCATCTAACTCAAGGACCAGTTTTCAAAGCATATGAATCCGGCCAGGTTAGAGACCAGCCACCTGAGGGAGGGTGTTCCTGAAGGCAGGTGCAGGCAGGTTTCCTAGCCCCCCCCCTCACCTCCAGCATGTGATATTTCTTAATTGATTCAGCCTTGGGTCACAAGGCAAACAAGGAATTCCTGCCCGTGCTAGCCACATACCTTGTGACAATTTCTACTTCCCTGAGCTCTGTTCTTGTAAACAACTTGCACTTAAAAGTGTCCTCTTCTGCATTGCTGCAAGGCGTCTTAATCATGCATCTCTTTAGAGGTCCTCTTCTCATCCGCCTGCAGTCAGGGGAACTGCGTGACATCAGTCTGGTGCTTAGGAAAGCGGTGGCTTTTTGCAAACTGGAAAGCAAGTCAGTCCGTGGCATTCAGAGGACATAAATAGGAAATCAGGTATCTGATCAGTTGGGAATGAGCTGCCGATGAGCTCTGAGTGAAATGCTGTGGGACCTTTGAATCTTTGACGTCTAGTCGAGCGCCTGACTGATGCTACTTTCTGGACCTGGTGCATGATGAAGGTGGCCCCTAAAATGGGCCAGCAATTTATCTCTCCTTTAAAAAAAAAAAGACATTTCCAAGTATTTTAGCGGAACGGTCTCAGAAATTGCCACCTCCTGACATTGCCTGAGACTAACATTGAATGTCCTCTCTAAACAGGGCTTCTCAACTGCTTGCATCATAAGTTAATAAGCACCGTTGGGATTTTTCTGCACTTGCTTCTCTTGGCTTTTCAATAGATAAACTTTAAAAGATTTTTTTTTAATTTATTTTTTTATTTCAATACTAAAAGCAAATGCAAATTTAAGTCAGAAAGACCATGAGAGAGAGAGAAAGAATAAAAAGTGCAAGGGAAAAAAGAAAAGTAAAAAACAAAGAAATATTTAAAGATTTCTAGTCTTCATCACACATATTAATAAAGTTGATAACTTCACTCCCTATAAGGTTACAAACAAGTATCTCCCATTATCTATCCCTCATCTTCACACAGGTCCATAATCTTTTTGTCCTGGTATCAGCAAAAAGTCTATAAAGGGTACTAGAGCTCTATGAAAACATAATTATTTTCACCTTGTTATAAAAAACAATAACCCAATTTTATATGCCTTCCTTTTACATATAACAATCTTGAGCTTTAATTTATTGAGCGAGGGTCTAGGAATTGATTTCAATTTTTATTTTTGTTATCGTTGAGGCTTTAGCAAACCTCTGTTGCAAATCCAGTATTATTCACATCATCCTCTTGCTTTATCATTTGTATTTTTGGTTTGATTTTCAAAGTAATAACCAGGATGTTTAGTATATACAAAAGAAAGTCCTTATCTAGGTCATTTGTATTTCTATTTTAACTGTCTTCTCTGTCTTATAATACATACTTTTAAAAAATTATCCAGTATTTCGGGTTTTTGTATTTCTACATTAAGCAAAACATTTTTTTCACATCTATCATTCCTTTGCTAACATCCTAGTCTATCCATAGATGCAGATCATTGCTAATGTAGCTGCCAATTTCTGAGCCCATCCTTTAAAAATCCCCTCGAGTATTTCAAATGTCATAACATTTTGTGTCATTTCACAAAACCTCAGTGCTAACAAAAAGCAAAATGCAAAGTTTCACTTTTCCTTTTTCTTTGCAAGCTGAAATCTTCAGTTCCCTCCGATGTGCAATGTCTGAAATCATAAACTCTCAAATCTCTGTTATTATTTAGGATAGACACAGCAATTAGTTCCTATACTTACTATTTGTAAAATTTATTGGCTGCCATCTTACCTCAGGGTAACTCTAGGCGGCTTACTATCATAAAAGATAAATACAAAGACAAAAGACATTAAAAAAATAAAATACTACA